GGCTGAAGCTAATTTGTTGTGAGAGAAAAACACTGTTCTATGGCTGATAAGCTAGGCTGATAAGTTCAATAGCCATTTAAGAGGAATTCTGATTAATACAAAAGTAGCCGAGTATGATTTTCTCTTCAACTCAATCTTATTGAGAATGACTGTCAGACAACGAGCATTGCCTCTGTTATCTGTTTTATGCATATAGTGGTTAATTTCTCAAATTAATTCATGAAGTTTACAAACCCATGCTAGTAATTGAGAAATGACATTAGAAACTCTTTGTTTTGAGAAAAACACAGCACTACTCCAGATGGTTTGAGGAGTCAGTTTTCTTCAATTATTCTCTTTGGATAATGCAGTCCAGAGCTGTATAAGTCGAGAGTTTTGGAGCTCAATGCTAGTGATGATCGTGGAATTAATGTTGTGAGGACGAAAATCAAGGACTTTGCTGCTGTTGCTGTTGGTACTGCACGGAAAGCGTAAGCTCATCAAATTAGAAAGCTTTTCATTCTCATCTGATTTTTGTATTCCTTACTAGTTTTCTTGTTGTGATGGACTTCAGTGGTTATCCCTGCCCACCTTACAAGATTATTATACTTGATGAGGCAGATTCAATGACAGAAGATGCCCAGGTATATTGCCACACAGAATTCTTCTATATGTAATAAATGCTTCAGACCTAATACATATGGTAAGTTGATATTTTATATCCTTCTGTAGAATGCTTTGAGGCGTACCATGGAGACTTACTCCAAAGTCACCAGATTCTTTTTTATATGCAATTATATCAGCAGGTATTTTGTCAACGTGATCTTATTATTTTTCTATGGTGCAAGTATTGAATTTTTGTGATTCATGGTTGTTAATGTTACAGGATAATAGAACCACTTGCATCGAGATGTGCAAAGTTTAGGTTCAAGCCTCTTTCAGAAGAAGTGATGAGCAGCCGCATTATGCATATATGCAATGAAGAAGGTCTCAATCTTGATGCTCAGGTATTTAAATTAGCCTTATTCGTGACGAGTCAGATGATGTTTATATGCATCATAAATTATTATGACATATCTGGTCAATTGTTTCGGGCATTCTTTTGTTTAACAATTACTTAGGTTGAGATGCTTTGAATTCTCTAATTAGGCACTGTCCACACTGAGTGCCATTTCTCAAGGTGATCTTCGTCGTGCTATAACCTATCTTCAGGTATGAATTTTCTCCAAATCTACTGTTTTGCATTAAGCTGTGCTCTTTTGATCGTAGTTCCATATACTTTTTGTTTGTTGCAGAGTGCAGCTCGCTTATTTGGATCTTCTATCTCTTCCAGTGACTTGATCAGTGTTTCAGGGGTACAGCACCATTCACTTTTCTCCTATTTTATTTGCGAAGAGGCTAATTTATCACATACTACGAATTTACTAGTTCCTGTATAGTGTGAGGATGAATTCATGATTTCCATTTGAGATGGTAATGTTATTTTTTGCTTGAATGCTTGAGGTTATAAAAAGTTCATTCATGCTTAATGATGTTGTGCTCCCAGAGTTCTAGCCTTCAACGAAGTTTTACACACAGCAATAAAATTGTGTATGCTGAAAGGAATTTTATTGTGCTTTTCCATGGAAAAATAACTTATATCATGTCATGACAAATTTTACCATGCAAGTAATTGGTGACCTGAACAAAGGGAAATAAAACTTGTCCATTCATCATTTTTTCTCCCTGTGTCAGGTTATCCCTGAAGATGTTGTCAAGTCGCTGCTTGCAGCTTGCAGATCTGGTGAATTTGACGTGGCAAACAAGGAAGTTAGCAACATTATAGCAGATGGATATCCAGTCTCACAGCTGATGGCACAGGTCATCTATTTATTTTGTTCTAGATGTCATATTCTAGTTAATTACTATTCCTGTTGATTTCATCTGTCACTGCTGCAAACTGAAGTACTTGTGCAGTTTCTAGATGTCATTGTTGGCACGGATGATATTCCAGATGATCAAAAGGCAAGGATATGTAAAAAGCTTGGGGAAACTGACAAGGTTTGTCCGACTAAAATTACAGTACTACAGTTATATCATGTTTGTCCTTTTCTTGTTTCCCATGACCTGTACTCTTCTAAAGGGAAACGAAGAACTTTTTTCTTCCACATGACTAGTTCAGAAATAATATGATGTTGAATCCTGCCATGTTTTTATCTTGTAGCAAGTCTCTGAAACTGTATCCACACATGTATCTGATACTGAAACTTCCATAGTGTTCCATACTCATCTGGTACTGAAATTTGGCTGCTACTATTGTAGCAAGTTTCTGATACTGAAACTTCTATAGTATCTGTAATGTTACATTTCTCACCTTTCCCCTTTTGGATGATTTCACAGTGCTTGGTTGATGGGGCAGATGAGTATCTGCAGCTGTTGGATGTCGCCAGTGAGACCATTCGTGCTCTTTTCAACATGCCACAAACGCTGGTCTTCTAAGTTCATAAAGAGGAACGGTGGTTGCGATCCCTGGCGGAAAGCTTTTCCTGCCTCTTAGCCCAAGGCTAATCTGCCTCGCCATACTGTTCGAATGTTGGTAGATTTGTGATGGGTTGAAAAGCGATGAACTCGCCCTAAAATCCTCTTTCAGCCTGTGGATGCCCAATATGACAATGAAGATTTCTCAACTTTACATCCTGTGTGTTATATTTCCTCTTTCTACTCCCAGGGGTGATGCAATGATGGCAGAGAGCGGGTTAGCATCTAGACTTTAGATGCCTCCAGGGTGCAGCTGTTGACGCTATGGCATTGCAGTCAGATTTTGTTAGGTTGTGCTTTGTAACTTCGTTATGGCACACGTTCTATAACAAAGTTAACATTTTTGGGTGGAAAATATAAAAGGTTGCGTAAATGGGTAAGATTAACTGCAGGCAATGCCATTTCTAGGATGGAACTTTTAGAATGAAAACTCCTTACTGTATAACCGAACCAAAAGCCCATCTCGTTACGAATGATTCTCTTGTGATCTGGTCAACTGGAATATGGAATCCGAGATGGAATCTGGCTGCTACTATTGTGCTTTTCCAAGGGCTTCCCAAACGCGCCATGTTTGATAGTCTGCCTAGCCAACATATCTGCATCTAGGTTCCATGTCATATGTGTTGGTCTCACGTAGGCTCTATTCGTTTTGCTCAAGTCGAAATATTGTTCCGGCTGATTTGTTGTGAGAGAAAAACATTGTTTGATTGAAAAAACAAGTTGAAAAGTACGGATTATAAGAGAAGCGAACATGGCCATAGTCACAGGTAGCGGACTCGCACACATAATCAAATGCCGGAGAATGCATTGTGATGAGACTTATTTTTTCTTGTAAACGTGGAGCCTGACTTTAGTATGGGGCTAATGCCTGTATATGCATGCGTTGTGCGTACCCTAAAGAAATCAAAATTGTTCTAAAACACTTTTAGGGATAAGAGTGACACACGGCAACACGATTCATGCATTACAAGTGTTAAGTTTAGTTGTTTGGTAAAAAAAAAGTCATGGCAAAAAGTGTAACGGGCATGTTTGGTTCTCGTCCAGAAATCGCCACAGCTTGCCGCGCCTAGCGTTCGCTTGCGTTTGGTTGACAGCCGAGCATGCGGCAGCTTGTAGCGTGCCGCGCCTGCATATCGTCCTGTTTGTTTGGGCTTGTTTAACTAATAAACTATAATTAAAAGTACTGTTAGTTGATTTAATATGAGAGAAAAATATTATTTGATGGCTGAAAAAATACGACTTATAAACAAATAAGGCCATCCGAACGGGGAACGGGGCGATAGTCAGCCGCGTAGTGTATTTGCTCGCCCGTTCTCGCCAAAAGTTGGGCGGTGCTTTTGCTCGCCAAAGATTCGACGCCACAGAGGTTGCGGCAAAGTCTGTCCAAGAGCCAAACAGGCCCGAAAAAACCTATTGTTGGTCATGTGTATTGCGTGCCTTGCTATTTTGCTTGTCCTTTTTCATGCTGGATTAATGCAACATGGATATTTTGTGAATATGAGGCATAAAACATGGTTTCTTTTGGTAAATTTTCGATACCTAATACATCTAAGAATATTAGTCATCATGTGTTAAATGCACGCAAGAAACTCCTATAGTTAATTAGCAGAAGAAATTAAAAAGGGATTTGCTAAAATTCAGATGTCTAAATTTTAGTTTTCTTTCGAACGACGATTATTACATATATTATATATTAAAATTACAGCTTTAGTTTGTTGTAGTTTCTATAGACATAATCTGCAATTTACGACTTCGAGAACTAAAAACCCATTAGACACAATCACAAAACCAACAAAATCTAACTTGTGTTGGCACAAAATCAATTAACAATTTATAATTGTTTCTATAGTCAGACAAGGACATAAATCAAACAACAATTTATTAAAATAATTATTTACTTGTACAAGTTGGTGGTACAAAAGTATTGTACGAATCATTTATAAATTCAATCACTTGAAATATAGGAGAAGTGAATTAAAAAAGTACCAATCCACAACTATAAAGTTATGTCTTTGATATCGGGTAGATGATATATGAAGTCTAGCATAAAAAAGATGTGTTATTGTACATTACTAGTGATCATTTTTTTCTTCTACCTCTATATTTATTTTTAGACGCATCGCTAATGCTACAATTCTTAATTATTATCTGTTTTAGCCATACGATAATTCGCTCACAATTGATATCATTCAAAGCCAATGACACCATGGCAACTCACATTTTGTTGACATCTTTCTTTTTATACTATGGCTCATCTATTTGCAAGACCAGCTGTGCCACCATATTTTGTTCTAATTCCATTGAATTTGAATCCTGCGCTGACAATTTGAATCCTCTCCAAAAATTTGGGAAGAGCCCCCAAATTTGAAGGAGCTGAAAGCCTCGGTCGGCTCACTGCCATCGCACGTGCCTCCCGACCAACCGCCGTGGTCCCCTCACTCGCGGACATACTCTCCGGGCGCCCACCACCTCCGCCTCTTCCGCCGCCGCGTGCGCCGGCGACGATGCCGCGCAAGGCCTCCTCCAACTCAGGTACGCGCCCCGCCAGAGACCGCCCTTCGCGCCTCGCAATTTCCGCGCTCCCAAAACCCTAACGCTCTCTCCCTCCTCAACTCCCGCTTCCAGATGCGCGGGCCAAGTGGCGGAAGCGGAAGCGCGCCGCCGCCAGCGCCTCCCCGTCCAAGCAGCCGGCCGACCACTCAGACGACTCCGACACCGCCGCGGCCGCGAACGGCGACGACGAGGCGTCCCGTGCCGCCTCCGCCAACGGGGGCGGAGGAACCCTAGCCGGCGGCGGCGGCGGCGATGACGACCCCGTGCTCGACCTTCGTGCGGCGGAGGTGCTCTCCTCCTCCGCCGAGCCCGTCTCCGCTTTCCCCGCCGCCGTCCGCCGTGCCGTGGGCCGGCCTCACCCCTCGGTGCTGGCTGTCATCGCTGCCGAGCGTGCGGCGGCCAGTTCCGACGGTGCTCCGGCCACCCCAGCCCCGGTACCCGTTCTCGAGAACATTTCGAACGGGCAACTCCAGGTGGTCTCGGCGATGCTGCCCGACCATCCGTCCCTGTCCTACGACCCTGACAAGCCGTCCACGTATGTCTGCACCCCACCTCCACTCATGGAGGGATGCGGAGTGCACAAACAGTTCTATGGCAAACTTCACATCGTGCCTAGGCATTCAGGTTTCTTCTTGGCACAATTTTTTTTTTGTTTGACAACAGGCACAAAAATCATTGTTTGCCACTGACCACTACCTGGTACTAGAACAAAGTGATAATTTAAATTGTGGTTGTTTTTGGTTGATTCATAATTGTAGATTGGTTTGTGCCAACGACGGTGCACAGGTTGGAGAGGCAGGTTGTGCCACAGTACTTCTCTGGAAAATCCCAGGGGCAGACAACAGAGAAGTACATGATGTTGAGGAATAAGGTGATTGCGAAATATTTGGAGCGACCTGGGAAAAGACTTGTGTTTGCTGAGTGCCAGGGGCTTGTCACAACCACACCTGAATTGTATGACCTGAGTAGGATAGTTAGGTTCTTGGAATCTTGGGGGATCATTAATTACCTTGCAACAGGGTCAGTGCACCGTGGCCTGAGGATGGCAGCATCCCTCATCAAGGAAGAGATAACAGGGGAGCTTCAGCTGGTATCTGCACCAATGAAATCAATTGATGGTTTGATTTTGTTTGATCGGCCCAAATGCAGTATCCGGGCAGATGATATATCTTCGTCGGTGTCAACTTCATCTGCTCCATTTGTGGCTAATGGTGATGCTGATTCAGCAAATTTGGATGAGAAGACCTGGGAGCGCTTATCAGAGAGTTCTTGTAGTTACTGCTCACAACCTTTACCCAGCTTGCACTATGAGTCACAAAAGGAGGTGTGCACAATCATAATTGCTACTTGGTTATATTTTATTCTTCATATTTGGATGCTCCTTTGCATCTTCTGGACTGTTGATTATGCAATGCACTTCACACTTCTGACCTTATACTGGTCTATTCATAATTTTCAGTTGTAGAATGAGACTATGTTATTGATCAGAGTACTCTATTGATTATATTACATCCAAAACTTAGCATTAGTTTATAGCGTGACTCACTATTCCAGAAGGAACTGATTAGGACAACAATATACTATGCTTGAGGTGATATTGTTGTTTCCTATGATCTGATTCTGAACTGATTGGTACAAGATTATACTCAAATAGCAATGATTAGGAAAGCAGAGATCATTATATAATTTTGCTGAGGAATTTACAAACAGTTTTGTATCTTACACCTCAACAGAGGTATAGTATTGGTATTTTAAATTATTAAACCTGTGATTTGAAGTACCAAGAGCCCATGAGATTGAAATGATGATTTGGTTAAAGGCATTGTAGAGTATCACCCTATACAACTGAATGTTACTACAGGGTAAGTCTCATCTAGGTACCCGAATACAAATAGGCCTGAGTAAAGTTAACTTGCTTATGTTTTAGTTTTTAAACATGCTTGAAAAGTTTAGCTGACCCCCTTTATTTGCTGCCTATATGTACCTAATTTTCTGAGAGGGCTTTTAATATTATTGTTCATGAGTTAGGAAAATGGAAAAGTGTATTTTTCAAACGCTTCTTCCAGTTCAAAATACCTTGTCCAGCTTACTGGAATGTTTTATTTCAAAATAGTTTGACATAATAATCAACAGCATTTATTTGTGACTGGAGAGAGTTCGTGTAATGCTATGAAGCTTTATTTATATCCTACTACTATTTGGCTTTCCTAATAACTGGTATGAATTGATTTTGTATTTGATTTCAGTGTGTTATATACTTCATGATTTGCCTTGTACATGCCCTCTGTTTTGATATGCCATGTTTTAAGAGTGATTCACTTTAGTGCAGTCACTTTCTGTTATGGTGGATCTTAGTTGATATATTTTTTCTAATGTTAACTAGCCCTCTTTATCAGAGAAACATATAAATGAGACTAACAAGCTATCTTATTTTAATTGGTGGAGCAGGCAGACATTGCTCTTTGTTCAGACTGCTTCCACAATGCAAAATTTGTTACTGGGCATTCAAGCTTAGATTTTCAGAGAGTGGATGGGATGAAAGATGGATCAGACACTGACGGGGACAGATGGACTGATCAGGAAACTTTGCTGTTGTTGGAGGGCATAGAGAAGTTCAATGATAACTGGAATCATATCTCAGGTCATGTTGGGACAAAATCAAAAGCACAATGCATTCACCATTTTGTTCGTCTCCCGGTGGAAGATGGTTTGTTAGAGAACATTGAAGTGCCAGAAGCATCCCTTCCATCCAGAATGCAAAGCAATGGATTTTTGCATTCAGATTCCGATGGCAGTACTTCAGGTGTGTTTTCTATTTGTTCAACTAGCAAACTTCTCAGTTTTGTTATGCTTCAGTATTCATGGTTGCAAAATGCATCGGGATTCTATATTTTTGACTGATGATTTGTTCCCTTTGCTTTCCTCAAGGTAGCCAACCTGGAAACCAGATTCCATTCATTAATTCTGCTAATCCAGTCATGTCACTGGTGAGTCATTGTGCATTATATTCAAATTTGGATACCGAAATGTCTGAAAGCATTTACAGCTGTAATTATCTTCACTATTTGTTTATATGGCCATCAGTGATGCGCATACGTTTTCCATGCCTGAAATGTTTTTTAATCAAAGCCCTTACTATCTCAAAAAAAAAAATTGCCATTTACATGTTGCTAACCATGGAAGGGCGGGCCTGGTGCAAGCAGTAGAGTCTTACCGCCTGTGACCGGAAGGTCCCAGGTTCGAGTCGCGGTCTCCTCGCATTGCACAGGCGAGGGTAAGGCTTGCCACTGACACCCTTCCCTAGACCCCGCACAGAGCGGGAGCCCTCTGCACTGGGTAGGCCCTTACATGTTGCTAATCATGACTCGGGTTGCTAATCCATTTCCTATGCTGTATTACTTTAGAAATTGACTCAGTTTGGGACTAGACAGCTTATTGCAGTTCTTTTAATTGATCAAAATCTGTTAAAAAAATAATTCTGGGTGGAAGGCTGTATGCCTGTACCACTTTTAGCTATTAATTGGCTGTCCAAACTCACAAATATCTGGCTAGGGCACTGGTGGCATAATCATACCAGCTATTCCAGTGATAATTGTAAATCCATGTTTGTACACTTATTGGGGGAATATGTAGTGCATAACCATATTTCAGTGTGAAGATGCTAACTCTGAAACAGGGGCCATTGGGTGGGACTTGGAATCATTATATTAAGGTGAACAAAAGGAACAAATAGGTTCACAAGTTCTGTTAGTAAAGCCTCGCAAGCTGCGGGTCGCAGTTGTATACCGTGCAGTTTTCCGTGTCATTATAATATGTGTCAATGGTCAATCTGTGTAAAGATCTATTTATATCTCTGGTCTTACTATTCTCGCAGGTTGCATTTTTGGCTGCTGAAGTAGGACCGAGAGTTGCAGCATCCTGTGCAAGTGCAGCATTATCGGTTTTGACGAGGGATGATTCCAGGTGAGCCACCTGTGCAATAAGTGATGCCCAGTGACTTGATTAATGAACATTTGCTGATTTTGATATGCCATGTTTTATAACTGGAATGCAGTAACACTTTTATTATTTTGCGGTACCTGATTTGTTTTGGTTTTTTGTGGTCTCACTCACATTTCTAGAGCTATTTGTTAACATGGTATTTTCCATTCTGTTAAGGATGCATGCAGAAGGCATTGGTGCTATGGGTCACGCTACTCATCTGAACTATGGTAAGTGCTTTGTCCCCCCTCCCTTTGTTTCAATCTTATTGTGTAAGAGGTTATTGTAAAAATACAATCAATCTTCTTGTGTACCAGGACCCTCATCATCCATTTCTTCAGAAACTGTGAAAAATGCTGCAATCTGTGGCTTGTCAGCAGCAGCAACAAAGTCCAAGCTTTTTGCAGACCAGGAGGAGCGTGAAATTCAGAGATTATCTGCCACTATCATAAATCATCAGGTCTGTTGCAATAAAAAAGTTTGTGGATTCTGCAATTTAGTTATTTTGGTGTCTGACCATCTTACTTCATAGTATAGTTTTGCAATGGTTGTCTGGCTACTGTGTCAGTGTTTTGCATGTATATGACTTCACAAGAAAAAAGAAAACCCTGATTCTCAACTATGGTAGTTGTAGCTCTGGAGGAGCCTTTTATTCTTTCGTGTTAAAAAAAAAAGAATCTCAAGCATCCTTGACATGATGTCTTTTCCTTGTATTTTGATATGTTACTTCGTGTGATGGTTGTGTTTTATAAAAAATGACCAAACACTGAGTAGAGAGGAGGTTTTAAGCATGAAAGAGCCACTGAGGAAAAAAAAAAACAAATTCACACTTGTCATAGTTTGGCATGTACCATAATTGGAGCTTATTTCTTGGCCGATCATGCTAATTCTCAGTAGTTTTGTAGTTTGACAGAAAACAATTTTCCTGCCATAATATTATAGATATCTAAAAAACAAAACCTATAACTTACTGGTAAAACCATCTTTTACTACGAACTTGAGGTTGAGGGGCAGTTTGGTAAAAACACATAACTGGGTTGGGGATATTCAGGGCGCCTTATCTGCTGATTTCTTCACTGAATATCTCGCACTTTGGGATCTCATCTTCAAAGTGATGCTTCAACCAGAGGTGGAAGACACGTTTGAAGTTCTCCGGTGATGGGCAATATTCAGCAAAATCCTCCTATGAAAGCCTGTTTCATGGTACTGTAATTTTCAGTACTTATGATAGTATTTGGGAAACTTGGGTGCCTGGCAAATGCTGTTTTTTCTTATTGCTAGCGGCCCATGAGAAGTGTTGGACGGCTGATCGGTTAGCACGAAGAGGGCTGCCACATCCTGCCTGCTGCCCCTTTCTGTGACCAAGAGGAAGAAAATATTAATCACCTGGTGTTGACCTGCTTCTTCACATGAGAATTTTGGTTCTTCCTTCTGCGCTGGGTTGGCTTTCACTCCCCTAGCTGATAAGATCTCCTTTGATGATTGGTGGGCAGAAACCCAAGGAGGGTGGTTGATCACTTAAGAAAAGGTCTAAACTCCATCTCAGGGGCCTGGACATTGTGGAATCTTCGTAGTCGCTGTGTTTTTTGTGGTGAACCTCCTAACCTAGCTAGAGCACTGTTGCTCGCTAGTGAGGAGCTCATTTCTGGGGTTTCGCTAGGGCACGAGGTATCAATCACCTCCTTGCCTGGGATTGAATGGGTTTTAATTTTGGTATTGGTCGTCTTCTTCCCTTTTAAAGGGCACATCTTTTTGCTTAAGATTCTAGTGTTTTGTCTGTGTGTGGTGTAAGTGTAAGGGTTCCTGCCCCATTTTTCTTAATATGATGATACACAGTCCTGTGTGTCTTAGAAAAAAAAAGTGTGACAAAAACGTATAGCTCACTGGTTAAAACCGCCCTTTACTAACTATCATGGAGATTCAACCAAGCTCAAACTGGTTCTGTTTTGAAGGACTTTGAACCACTTAGATAAATCTTCTTGAATTTCATACTTGTAATTCTTGATTAAAGGGAAATGATATAACTTTCAACTTGTTATTCATTTTTTTGGACATGCAGTTAAAGAGACTGGAGTTGAAATTGAAGCAGTTTGCGGAGGTTGAGACAATGCTCTTGAAGGAAAGTGAGCGGTTAGAGGTGATGAGGCAGCAGCTGGTAACTCAGCGTGTCCGGTTGTTATCAACCCGGTTCACTTCCACAGGTGGTGCAATTCCTGGAGGTAGCAGCAGTATGGTTTCAAACCCAATGAATCAGGCCACCGGCCTTAGACCGCTGATGATGCCAGGCTCGGTGTCCCAGTCCAGCATGCCGGCAATGTATGCAAATAACATGCAGGGGCATCCCCAGATGGCTCTGCTGCAACAGCGGCAACAGATGCTCTCATTCGGACCTCGCTTGCCTCTCTCGGCCATCAACCCTGGCTCATCCTTGTCGGCACCCAACATGATGTTCAACCCTGGCATGCCCAACTCGGCAGCCCCTAATCATCACCCTTTGTTGAGATCACCCTCAGGGAACAATTCAAGTGTAGGTTAGTGAGATGAGTTTTTCTTTTTTGGGTCTTAGATTCCTGAGTTGTAGCCCCTGATTCGTGATCGTTAACCATTGTAATTCAATTGCACAATCACATATAGAGGTAGTTGTTACCAGCTATATGTTCTCATTTTCTCTAGGCTGTGGACCGTGTGGTGTGTATTTTGATAAGACTGGTGTTGCTAGTGGCTTAGGCGATGCATAGAGGATGTAGAGTTTCACCCTGATTAATTATTATTACTGCCCCATCTTAGAATTGTGTCAAAAATGATTTTAGATTCCTGAGTTGTAGCCCCTGATTCGTGATCGTTAACCATCGTAATTCAATTGCACAATCACATATAGAGGTAGTTGTTACCAGCTATAGGTTCTCATTTTCTCTAGGCTGTGGACCGTGTGGTGTGTATTTTGATAAGACTGGTGTTGCTAGTGGCTTAGGCGATGCATAGAGGATCTAGAGTTTCACCCTGATTAATTATTATTACTGCCCCATCTTAGAATTATGTCAAAAATGATTCTGCATGAATTCCCAATTCTTCATCTTTGGTTTGCGTCAGGAAATCATGGTATGCCAAAATGGTTTATGTTTGGAATTTCTTGGATGCCAGTGACTAGTGAGTTTTAAATTTGGATTTTGTGCTCTCTCCATGGGTGGGCAAAATTATCAAAACTGGTACTGAACTAAACTGATTTAACTGAAAAGGTTGGTTAACTGAAATTTATGGGATTTTCTAGATACATTGATTTTACTATGTATCTAAATTTTGCGTGTATATTTAAGTACATGACAAAAAATTATGTATCTAAAAAAAATAAAACGTCTTATAATTTGAAATAGAGGGAGTATTCGATGAAGGCTGACTCAATTATGTTAAATGAAATTTATTTGGTCTTGAGCTGGCATAACTGAATTAACTGATTTTTTTCCTATTTGATGAAGGCTGACTATTATATTAAACACTAAAACTGTCTAAAGAATTTATTTGTTAGAAGTTTTCTTTGTTGTTTTTCTTTTTGTTTTATTGCATGATCCATTCCATTGTTAGGTGCTTTCTATATAAGTATCTTGTTGCATTATCTTCTGTTGAAGTATAATATGTATTGTGGTTAACCATTAACCGGAACTGATTTTGGTCGGTTATTAGTTTTTTGACAGCAAATTTGGTTAACATTTTACCAAAATCAAAATTCTTGATAACTGATGTGATCAAATCAATTGTTATTGAGTTAACCAAATGTCCAGGCCTAGCTGTTTCAGGCATAATGTTTGTGGTCCTGCCTTATTTGAAACATATTATCTAGTCAAGTGATCAAAATAAAATAAAGCACTAGCCATGTAATCCCTAAATAATATATATATATATATATATATATTTGGAGCACGACATTTGCGAGGTTGGCATCTGTCGGGTTCATAAATCCAGGTCCCTTATGGACCGGCTTTCCAACAAAGGCTCGGCCCTAGCAGACAACGTTGCGAACGACGCGTAACTCCTGGGCCGGCCCAAATACCTAAACGACAGGCCAGAATGGCGATCTAATCTCCGACCGGAAGGCCTGGCCGAGGAGGAACGGCGTCCGCTTCCGACTCCGACCCGCCTCTCCGACCGGAAGGCCTCACTAAGGAGGAACAACGCTCGCTTCCGACTCCGGCCCACCTCTCCGAACGGAAGGCCTCACTAAGGAGGAACAGCGTTCACTTCCGACTCTGGCCCGCCTCCGGACGGCCCCTCTGACCGGAAGGCCTGGCCAAACACCACTTCTGACTCGACCTGCGTCTCCAACGGGGATGCGCCGAACCCCTGCTTATGACTCTTCTCCAACTAGCGCAATCAAAAGCCGACTGGGACCAACCGACCGGGGACGCCCGCTCGGTGAGGACCAGAAAACGAACAGAGAAAGTAAGGCAGGGCACTCAAGTCAATCACAATACCGAGGACCGTACCCTGTACACCTACAGGACAGTACCAACAAGACATGTCACAAGAGTGCCCTGCAACCTTCCAGGCATGTGTGTTGTGGGCGCCGACATTTTCCCTACATGGTTGTGGGCGCCCGCAAACTCCCATACCAGACGAGCACGGTAAAACCCCTTACATGCCTCTGGGTATCAACAGTATGGCAGGCACCGACGCCTGCCACACCAGAAGAAGACGACGCAACCTCCCATATGCATCTGACATTAACAGTGTTATGGGCGCCTACAATCATCTTGTACCCGACGGCATGGGCAACGAGACTTAGCATACATACACACACACTCTCTCTTGTAAGGCCATCCCCTTCATCTATAAAAGGGGGTGCGCTCTCTCCCAAAGAAGAGATTAGATCCCTCAGTTCACTTACATCGATTCAACACACAACAGCAGAACCACCAGGTTCAAACCTCGAGCACACGCTCGAACACTTAGCACATAACGGAGCTCCCATCACTCTCGGCCCTTCAGACCAGAGTTCGACCGGACTCCTTGCACCCCCCATCTTTCTCCCTTCCGTTTGTAACCCCACAACAAACTTTGAGCACCTGGGCTCAGGAATAAAGTCACCGACCGACTCAAATTGGACGTAGGGCACGTTGCCTGAACCAGTATAAACCCTGTGTCATTAAGTGTTATGCCACATCCGATCACAACGTACGGCAAAACTATAAATATTTACGTGTTGGTCACTTTTTTTGCAACGTTCACATTTTTAGTCATCGATGGCGCCGCTCGTGGGGGCGATATGACGTTGGAGTTTCCTACACTCCCACCTGTTGGGATGTATCACGTTCACATTTTTAGTCATCAGATGGCCCACTTTTCCGCCATCTTCGCCATGGTGGGCTCAAGCGATATGACTCGCTTCGGCTCGCTGGAGTTTCCTACACTCCCACCTGTTGGGATGTGGGTTCCACTTGATCTTGAGCCATCCAAAGGTATAAAATGTAGGAGCCTTCCTCTTAGGAAGCCTAGACTTCGAATCGCGCACTATTAAGAGGAGTGTAACCGGCTCGACGTACTACACCTCCGCAAGGAGGCACTCGTTCTGGCGCCCGTCGCACGCCCTCCTTGGTCCTTCTCCCTCCCGGGACACCCGATGACTTCAACGATGAGAAAAATGAAATACGCTTCATTACGAGCAAACACTGGCTGCTCAAGCAAGGGTGAAGCTGTGAGTAATGTACATGTTTGGCGTGTTATTTACCTTACTTCATTTACTATCGTCGCCGATCATCCGGAAGGACCCCCTACCGCGTCCGCCATTCGGCGTCATTCGACCGTTGTCCCCTACGGCCTCGTGTCCCTCGCGGCGGGACGCGGAAGGCGTCCGCCGGGCTTCAAAAGATGCCGACGCCGCATCCTCTCACATCCGAATTCTTGGGGATGCAACCTTGTGAGCTATGCTCCCCCACCTATTTCCACGATCTCGTGAGATGATGAGGTTGAGTGAGTGCGGCTGGCCGATATCGCGATGTGGCACCTAGCCACCGGTTGCCACCACCAGCCCCGTTGGAGCGCGCTATGGCGGACGAGTTGGGATTGTTCGTGGCCGCCGTCGGTGGTAGCGGAGTCCTGCAAAAGGTAACTCACCCCTCATTGAGACCTCTCGCGGATGCCCTCACGAGGTTTCGCGCAAGAGCATGGCGAGGGACTAGCTACGACAATGGCGGCAGAATCGGTTGTCTCCACATTCTCCCCGTGATTGGCTATATATTCATCGCGGTGCAAGACGTTGTGCTTTCAAGAACTAGCGTAAGCCCGAGCGGCGGCGCCATATCGCTCAGCTTTTGTGAGAGCTCTTAGAGTCGTCCAAAGCGACATCATGGACGAGGAGAATGATCCCCACATTTTCGCTAATCGGGCTAGCTAGAACATCGGCATCGCGGCAATGCTTACTCACTTGGCGTTCCCGAGCTCGTCGACCCCGAGGAGCGGGCGGTCCACCGGAACCTCCAGGCACTGGTGGAAGCCGCCGCTGTTCAATAGGTGGAGAGCTCCGCATCACGACTCCGTTCGCGCCTCCCTCCCCACGCCCCACTAGGGGAGTGACAGCGCACGCACCGAGATGGATCGCTCCATCCGCTGCCACCGCATCTGACCGCCAAACAAAGCAGCTACCGCACGTGAGGAGGCCGTGGCTATCGTTGTGCATGTCGGACCCGCGCGCTCGTTCCACACCGACATCATGGACGCGAATGCCTCGATCCAAGCTAAAAAGACGCGCGCGGTAATGCTTCATCATCAAGAATGAGCATCGGACCCGACATGATGATGATGCGTCTATAGGTGGAGAGCCGGGCGGCGACGGCGGGGTAGGTGACATGGGCTCCCCCGCCACCATCGAGGCCAAACAAGGCAATGTGGAGCGGTGAAAGCGTGGCGCCTATTGCATGGTCGCCGACCAGATGATCGAGCTAAGAGTCCCGGCCGGATGGCATGATGATGGGACCGGGCCTTTGGGTAGGTGACATGGGCTCCCTAGACATCCGAAGAGCGCCGTTCCCACACGTCGCCGACCGGACACCACCAACAACATCGCCGCCAAGTACACCGGGAGACGAACCCCCACGTATGACCGCCCACCAATATGGCTCTCGTATATGGCTCGAAGATTTTCGGCTCGCCTGCCGAGCCGGAGGGGTGGATGATGACCATTTCATCATTCAATATCTCCCCATCTGCGTGGGGAACATGTTGGGCATGGCTTGAATTCTTCCCGCACAACAGCATCCACGACTGGGCGGACCTCAAGAGGATCTTTGTCGGAAATTTCCAGGGGATGTATGTTCTCCCTGGGAACTCCTGAGACCTCAAGAGCTGCCAGCAGGAGCCCAGTGAGTCCCTACAGGATTACATCTATAGGTTCTCCCAATGATGCAACTCCCTCCCTGATGTTGTCGACGCGGACGTTATCAGTGCATTCCTCTCCGAGACGACCTACGAGTCCCTGATCCACAAGCTTGGCTGCCTGAAGCCCCGTACCACCCGCGACCTACTCGACGTGGCCACGAACCACACCTC